TCTATTTATTCAATATTCAATGTAGTAATGTACATTTTATGTAGTTATATAGAATGAAATACACCTTTCTCTTCTGAATTCTACAGACAAATCTACTAAGTATATATGTATAACTTCAGATATATCTACCAAGATCTTGTTTCAGGATATAAAATATATCCTAGAAATATATCCTAGTATTATATCCCAGTATTATATCCAGTCCAGGATATAGTTAAGAGAATCTACCAAGATCTTGTTTCAGGATACAAAATATATCCTGGTAATATATCCAGTCCAGGATATAGTTTATAAAATCTACCAAGATCTTGTTTCAGGATACGAAATATATCCTGGTAATATATCCTAGTAGAGTCAATCATAAGTCAACAAGTGACAGCTGAATGCAAAACCCTAGACACCTTGCAGAAATTTCTCGACTCCACCTCGCTTTGTGCAAACAACCATTTGAGGGTGGAAGCGGGCACAAACGATGCAAGTCCTCCACCAATGCAGTGTAATGGAGTGCTCCACACTCCAATTGAAGTTATCATGATACAAACTTGTGCCAAATGCAGTTGTTTGCACAAAGTGAGGTGGACACCAGAAATTTTCAGGAGGTGTCTAGGGTTTTGCATCTAGCTGGAATACCACCCCCCTTCCAAAACAAGCAGAAGTTGTACCTCTGAGATGGCATGTTGATTTGCCAGATACATCGCATTGGATGTCACCTTGTTTGTCAAGGTCTCCCAAGGTCATAAATACCAAACAGCTAAAAACAAACTTCTGTCTTTTCTTGCATATTGCGCATGCGAGTGAGCAAACCTGTACAAACAACTCATCTTTTCAAAACATAATATTGTCGTCTCTTTCTTAGTGCCAGCTCCAAAATTTACATACATCTTTCCAGTTAACTAGCTCTTGAACATTGTTTCCTTTGTTACAAAAGAAAAAGTTGCATTGTATTGGTGCAAAGCAGCATATTTGTCAGCAAGCAAAGTGCCTGCTGCCGCTGCTAAGCATCAGCCTCTATTGTGGAAGGGGGTGTGGCAAAACAGAAGGTAGCAGCACAGTGCTTTCTGGAGGATGGTTTCAGACATTTCTGAATGTGTTGACAAGAGGAGAAAGAGAGAAATGACAAAGAACTTTGTGAACTCTTGTGTTTGAAAGTGGGTTGGAAGAGAGGTTTGACATCACATGTGGGGGTTTGACTGGTGGGGATGGTAATACACATGTTGGTGGGGTATGCAGATAAGATGTGACTGGAGGATCAGAGCTGAAGTAAAGTTATAAGGCTGCTCAAAGTACTTTGTAAACTTAGTGCAAACTGTATTCATAGTGTCAAGGTGGATACTTAAGCAACTCAGGAATCTTGTACTGAATAGCTTCAAGGTGAATCACACATGTCATTGATGTCCAAATTTTTTAGAGGAGAATGGAATTGGTTGTCCATAAATTTACAATCAAAAGCCAAGAGAAAGAGGGAGGGAGGGACAGGAGGAGAGAGGGAGGAAAAAGAGAGGAAGAATAAGAGAGAAACAACCAAGTACTTTGTGAACTCTGAGGAGCTAAAAGAATCTGTAATATGAACTGTATTCATTGGATAATATTTAAGCAACTCAGGTAGATCACATATGCTATTGATGCCCTTATTGCTATCTACATACTGGAAGCACAAGCCAGACATAGTGGAAATCATTGCACAATCTTCCAGAATATATACCACAGACATCAAAAAAATCACAAGTTTTTTGCTGAAACTAGGACCCCTGACACCCCTACAGACCAGAAAAATATATCCTTACCACATCAGATTCACAAAATATATCCTAAGGCCAAACCAGGGCAAAAATATATTTCTAAGGTGTGACAGTGACATTTCAGGGTCCACTCACCAAAAATATATCCTTACTGCATTTCACTTGCAAAATATATTTTGGGGGTGTGACACAGACATTATAATTTTTGTGTGACATTTCAGGGTCCGTGTCTCAAGAATATATTTTAGATTTCAGGGCTTTCTAGGACCCATATATATCTAGAATATAGATATGGTCTATGACATTTAGTCATGTAACTTAAGTGGAGTTTGCATGACTAATAGTCAGTTGGCACTGGGTGACTGAAGTGGCCAATGCACCTAAATAATCTTGGTTGATCTCTGTAAAATTTGTAGTCCACCTTAAAGGATCTATGTTCCAAATATGATATAAAATCACAAATAGGCTATCATATGCACAACTGTAATTTATACTATCCCATTGAAGTCCTAACTTGATGCTAGACTTAGGCTTCAGTACTTTTTTACTCTTTTTCTTTATATTAATCTCATCATCATCATCCAGCTTATGCTTGACTGCAACTGATCCCTTAGCTGGGACAAATGTTGAAGCTTTCTTGGGTTGCTCTGCTTTCTTATCTTTGCCTCTCTTAATTATCTGCCATGGACTGTCTGTAACCACAGGTAGTATATCCATTGGATCACTTTCACTCCAACTCAAAGATGCATCTGTTTTCTCTGGAACATATGCTGTACCTTTCCAGTTTTGAAAATTTCTGATTAATGAATTGCGTGTGTATCCTACAACACAAGGAGGAAGTGACCCTTCATATCTAAGCCTGGTAATTTCATCTAGAAGTTCTTGTTCTCTGAGTTCCTGCCTAAGATATTTTGCACATCCTCTAGTAACAATGCTGGGCTCAAAGCCTTGTAGAATGATAGTTCCAGCTGCACTTGCACTTCTGGAGAGACAAGTGTAGTAAGACATATGAGTATGGCAGCTGTTGAGATGGACAACATTGTATGGTCTAGTTTTTCCTTGAGCTGCATAATCTGTCATTGCAAAATTAGGTAGAGCCCAAACTTGTTGTCTTTCTATAGACTCCTTTAGGTCACTAGGGAATGTACATGTAATAGTTTTAGATCCCTTGACTAAAGGTAC